GGGAGAGGGGCAGGGGGTGGGGGAGGGGATACTGGGGGCGGGGCCATGGGGCGGGGGAGGGGAGGATGCCCGGCGGGGGGAGGGGCCGGCTATTCCGGTCTCGCCTCCCCCTGCCCAGCCCAGCCCGGCTCGGCTCGGCTCTCCCCGCTGCGCCCCAGGTACGGGACCGGCGGGTGGGAAAGGAGAGGAGGGGGCAGCCCGGGGGGGGGGGACAGGGCTGGGGAGTGGGAGGGGAGGCTGGACTCAGACAAAGCCAAACATGGCGGGGGGGCTCTGGCCGACTGCAGTTTGAGGGGGGATCTGATGCCCATAAGGTTTACGGATGGCGGGGGGGCGGGAGCCCGGACTCCTGGGTTCTCCCCGGCTCTGGGAGGGGGCTGGGAGCCAGGACTCCTGGGTTCTCTCCACGGCTCTGGGAGGGGAGCGGGGGCTGGTGGGTTAGAGCAGGGGGGGCTGGGAGCCAGGACTCCTGGGTTCTCTCCCTGGCTCTGGGAGGGGGATGGGGTCTAGTGGGTAAGAGCAGGGAGGGCTGGGAGTTGGGGGGACCCTCGAACGGGGGGTGTCTCTGAGCCAGGGTGACCCCCCAGAGAAGAGCCGGGAGCCCCAGGGCTGGGGAGGGCATCTGGAAATGGACGGTGGGGGCTGTCCTGCCACCCCCCGCGTGGGGGGAGGAGCCGGGGGGAGGGGATGTTCCCAGAATCACCGCTCGTCCGGCTCCGCAGGGCGCCTCACCCATGAGCGCTCCAGCGTCGCTAATGAAACTCGCTTATGTAAGACCCCGGACGCCTGGGTTCTCTCCCCAGCTCTGGGAGGGGAGTGGGGGCTGGTGGGTCAGAGCAGGGGGTTCTGGTAGCCAGGATTCCTGGGTTCTCTCCCTGGCTCTGGGAGGGGAGTGGGGGCTGGTGGGTCAGAGCAGGGGGTTCTGGTAGCCAGGATTCCTGGGTTCTCTCCCTGGCTCTGGGAGGGGAGTGGGGCTGGTAGGTTAGAGGAGGGGGGGTCAGGCCCTGGGATCAGGTGGCATTGGGTTATGCGGGAAGTGTGGGGCGAGTGTGTGTTGTGGGCCTAGTTGTGTCTTGGGGTGTGAGCGTCGGTGGCGCTGTCTGTCTGGCCACGGCTCTGTTTGGGTCCGTCAAGACAGGCCCACAGGAGTGGATGGGCCCAGGCCCAGACCCCTGTGTGTGTGTGTGGGGGGGGGCGAATCTCAGGGGGGAGATCAGGGTATGTGGGGGGAGCTGAGAGTATCTGGCGGGGTGTGGGGAGGTGTGTTTTGGGGGCTCTGGATGATAATTTGTGGGGGGTTGGTGTAGTGGGGTCTTTGGAGGTTGTGGGGGAATGGAGGGGGGGTCTGTGTGTAGCTAATGGGGTGGGGGGGTTCTGGGGATGCAAGGGGCAGGGGAATCAGTCTCAGGGTTAAATCAGTCCCTGCCTGCATGACAAGGCATTGGGGTCCCCGTGCCCGAGGGCGGGGGTAACACACAGTTCCCCCCAAAACTCTCCCCCAACCCCCTGACTCCGGTTTCACCCCCCCTGTATAACTCTCCCTGACCATCCCCACCCTGCATGGCCCCGGTTCCCCCTGCACCCCACCACCAGCCCATTTCCCCCCCACCTGACCCACCCCGTGACCCCCTCTCCTCTGTCACAGGAGCCGGGAGGAGCGGGGGTGCTGAGCGAGGGAGTGAGCCGGAGAGAGACCCGGGGGGGCCGCAGCTGAGACCCCCCCCAGCATGGCAGCAGCAGGTAGGGAGAGCGGGGGTCAAACTGCTGGCCTTCCTCCAGGGGCAGATACCTCCCCCGCATCTGTCTGTCCCTCCCTCCACCCCTTTACCTCCATCTGTCCCCCCGTCCCGCCCTCCATCAGTCCTCCTCCCCCATAGACACCCCTCTGTCTATCCATCCATCCACCCCTCCCTCCGTCCCTCCATCCTGCCATCCACCGCCTTAGACACCCCTCTGTCTATTCATCCATCCACCCCTCTGTCTATCCGTCCCTCCACCCCTCTCTACCTCCATCCCACCCACCCCAATGTCCAGCCCTCCCTCCAGCCCCGTAGACATCCCTCTGTCTGTCCATCCATCCACCCCTCTCTACCTCCATCCCACCCACCCCAATGTCCAGCCCTCCCTCCAGCCCCCTAGACATCCCTCTGTCTGTCCATCCATCCACCCCTCTCTACCTCCCTCCATCCTTCCATCCACCCCCCTAGACACCCCTCTGTCTATCCATCCATCCACCCCTCCCTCCGTCCCTCCATCCTGCCATCCACCGCCTTAGA